ATAAGCATCATGGTAACCACAAAGCAAAAACCTACAGCAGATATGCAAAAGATAAAGGAAGGATTCTAAGCTTACCACTAAGACAGTCATCAAATCACAAATGAAGAGAGAAAGAAGAAAGGAACTACAAAACAGCCAGAAAACAGTTAACAAAATGGCATTAAGTACCTACCTATCAATAAATACTTCAAATGTAAATGGACTACATTCTCCAATCACAAGAAATAGAGTGGTGAAAGGATAAAAAACAAGACCTAACTATATGTTGCCTACCAGAGACTCACTTCAGATACAAGAACACAGACTGAAAGTGAAAGGATGGAAAAAGATATTCCATTCAAATAGAAACATTTAAAAGAAAGCTGGGGTAGCTATACTTATATCAGACAAAATAGACTTTGAAAGAAAGATGGTAGTAAGAAAAAAAGAAGGGCATTACATAATGATAAAGGGGTCAATCCAACAAGAGGATGTAACATTTGTAAATATTTATGCACCCAATATAAAAGGATTCCCTAGGGGAAGTAAAGACACTACTCATAATTTATAGGGAACTCTAAGTCTCATTTTTCATAGAAGGAATCTACAGACAGAACCTAAACTATGCTATCTGCTAGTATCATCACCACCATCACTAACCTGTAGTAGTGCAAGTGAGAGAATCAATAATAGTACAATAAATTCCACAACCTAAGTCAGCAATTCTGAGCCCTTACTCAATGTGTGAAAAGGTAGTTGTTTTAGGCCATTTGGGCTGCTATAACAAAACACCACAGACTGGGTAGCTAATAAACAACAGAAATTTATTTCTCATAGTTCTGGAGGCTAGGAAGTCCAAGGTCAAGGTGCCAACCTGGTCTGGCGAGGGCCCTTTGTCTGGTTCACAGCCAGTGCCTTTTCATTGCATCCTCACTTGGCAGAAGGGGTTAGGGATCTCTCTGGAGCCTCTTTTAAAAGGCACTACTGAGCCCATGTGCCACAACTACAGAAGCCCGAGCACCTAGAGCCCGTGCTCCACTACAAGAGAAGCCACCGCAATGAGAAGACCGCACACCGCAACAAAGAGTAGTCCCCCCTCCACAACTAGCGAAAGCCCGCGTGCAGCAACGAAGACCCAACACAGCCAAAAATAAATAAATAAAATAAATTTATTTAAAAATTTAAAAAACAAATAAAAGGCACTAATCTCATTCATGAGGTCTCCACTCTCATGACAAGCATCTTCCCAAGGCCCCACTTCCTAATACCATCATCTCTGGGGGTTAGGGCTTCAACATATGAATTTTGGAGGGACATACTCAAGCCACAGCAGCGGTCAACCAGATTAATCCAGTCTCAGATAAGAGAATTAAAGCGTTAAGAAAATAAATAAAAGGCCATGTAAATATTGTTAATAGCCTCAGCAAAACTTTCAATAACCAATTTCCACTGCATCAAAACATGCAAGGAAAGAGGACGGCAAGATTGCTCTGTAACTCCGAGCACTAACCAGGATTTAAAAGCACATATTGTGGGCATCCCTGGTGGTGCAGTGGTTGAGGGCCCGCCTGCCGATGCAGGGGACGCAGGTTCGTGCCCCGGTCCGGCAGGATCCGGAGCATGCCGTGGAGCAGCTGGGCCCGTGAGCCATGGCTGCTGGGCCTGCGCGTCCGGGGCCTGTGCTCCGCAATGGGAGAGGCCGTAGCGGTGAGGGGTCCACGTACCAAAAACAAAAAACAAAAAAAAGCACATATTGTGCTGGCCAAAGAGTTTGTCCAGTTAATGAATACACTGTTCAATAAAGTTCCGGGTGAAAATGAAAAGTGTTTTTACTTAAAACCAAATGAACTTTTTGGCCAACCCAATACATTAACAAAAAGCTTAGTTTTTTATCTCAAGTTTTGAATGGTACTTACAGTTTTGGTTTAGGTTCAAAAGATTTTTTAAAGTTTGTTTGTTTTTATGAATAACAAGTATCACTTCTATAAAGAGCCTTACAAATGGTTACATTTATTAGGTCAAAAGATTTTGAAAGTTTACTTTCTAGGTGGCACAAAGGCCGGAATAAATTAGTACTTTAAAAATAAATTTACTACTCTCTTTAGGGTGAAGAAGCTTTTTGCAAGACTTATTATTAACACCATGAGCAGAGAAAGCATACACAATCAAAGAATAAAAGAACTATGTAGCAAGTCTTGCCCTAGTTTACAGGTGAGGCCCACAGAGGATAAACAAAAATATGCAAAAGGAGAGGAGCACATAGTTAAATGTAAGTTACTGGTAAGGTTTTCATTCTTCAGCCGTATGCTGGGTCCACAAGTATTTATTAGATTAGCCTAGAGTGGACAAAACTAGCTAAACAAGTCAGACCTGGACCACTAGTGATAATGTGTCATGAATCAAATTCTGTGTCTCAAGTCCAAAAAAGAAAAAGAAAACAGTTCAAATCTACAGGATCTAAAGGTGGGTATGACTGACACAGATATGTCTCTCAGAGTAAATAGCATATTTACTAAGTGAAATATCAATATATTAAACTAATTCAGACTGGACATCAAGGTGATTTTACCTTACCTAACAGAACAACTTGGTCACCTGTGCATCAAAAAAAGTCTCTATAATTAAAAATGATCACAAAGACATGTTAAGGAAGTATACTATAACTGTTATCAAAAGAGTCACAATCATTATAAATCTCATTTTCTAAGTAGCTTTTGTGGAAATTATATAAATATCTTGCAATGCTTTACAGTGCACTGACGAGTAAAATAAAAATCAACAAATGTTAGAATTTAATTGAACTTTACAAACTACACATGCCTTCTTATCAAGAAATTAAGCAATATTGTTTTTTTATAATGATTTCTGAATAAACCTCAGATTTCTAACTTTTAAATTTCATTTCATTACATTCTCATACAATATTATTTTTAACAGATTCATACCTATAACTCTAAAAGGCCCCTTCATTTAACCTACCATCCACACTAATTTTATTTAGAAAATAAGTCTTTTCTTCATTGTGCGTCTATAATAATTTGAAATAATATAAATCAAATATGGGCTTACTCAATTTTACTAACACATATATAGTTTTTTAAGTTAATTTCCTATTATACTAATCAAAGCTTAAAATAGGAAAATAAACTATTTTAAAATGTGTTTCATCTATAATGTTTTTACTAAGAAATTAATTCCAATCACTAGCATAAACTCAAGTATAACTCTCCAGGGGTGTACAATGCTGAATAATTTGTCCAAATGTCAACTGCAATTTTCAAAAATCCTTTCTACCTCAAAATTTTAAACATCTGTAAAAAATACTTGTTTTGAGAGTGGTTTACATTCATGACACTTGACCTTTTGCTGTACACACCACAAAATTCAAGTCTCAAATACCATATAAGCAGGAAATCTGATCATTCCTGCAGTAGCCATCTGCATGGTCCAATATCAAATATTAGTTCTAGGTTACACTAAGTCATGTGTTACAAATCTTTTTCTGCAGCCTCTATAATTAGTTGTAATTTGCCTCTTTTAAAATGTGTTTCTTATGGGACATCTGGCCTTGAAACTTCCACCTTCCCATTGAAAAAACACTTAGTGTCTGGATTTTTTTTTTTTTTCACTTAATATGGAGCACTGCATGGGTGGTATAACCAAGTCCAGACTTCTTAAAAAAAAATTAAATTCCAGGAACAGATGATGATTAAGAACCATTTAAGTATTACCAAATATAAATGTAAAATAAAACTTTGTTGCACATAACTATCTACAGATTCCTAAATCAATCTCCCAGATATTTAAAGTTCCCAAAATAAATTTTAATGAGAGTATAGCATTGGTCTACTCACTTCCAGGAACTACATTAGTTAAGTTAAATTGCATAATAAAGGTTTGGAATTAGAGATTTCACAGAAAGAAAAACAGTTTTGAGCCCAGTAGGTTCATATGACACTCAAAGTATCTACTGTAAATAGGAAATAATTTTAGCAATTTATAAATAACCTTTACTCATTTCACAGAAATTGAAACTTAATAATACTCATCAATTCACTTGATCTAGACAGGCTTCCTTAAAACTGAAAATTAAATACGGGGTAAGGAAAAAGTAATAAAAATGAAAGACAGAGATACTACTTTATACAGGATAAAAGTGGAAGAATTCATCACAATATGCTGCTGCCCAGACCTGTTTGCTTCTTAGATTAGAAAATTTTTGGTAGAAACTCCTTAAAATCACTATTATACCTTAACAAAAACACTGAAAAGAAATGTAACATGGGTCAAAGAAAGAAGTCAGAAAAAAATCAGTTTCTGATGACAAAACCTCAAAGACACAATGAAATTAGGTATGAAGGGAAATTCAATATATTTTCATCGTCTCAAAAAATAACCTGAGAAATTTCTATCTCATTTAGAAATGTCACTTTGCAAAAATTCAAAACCCTTCACCTAAAAATTGGACAAAATCAGGCCCCATTTCTGGCAGATATAGGTAATAAGCAATATGCATAATCCCTATTAAGGCTATGATCAGATTAAGTAAAATGAGTATGAAAATAACCATTAGGATATATTTTATCCAAATTTAAGAAAACCCTTTTGCCTAACAAACGTAAGGTAGATAGCTAGTGGGAAGCAGCCGCATGACACAGGGATATCGGCTTGGTGCTTTGTGACCGCCTGGAGGGGTGGGATAGGGAGGGTGGGAGGGAGGGAGACGCAAGAGGGAAGAGATATGGGAACATATGTATATGTATAACTGATTCACTTTGTTATAAAGCAGAAACTAACACACCATTGTAAAGCAATTATACCCCAAAAAAGATGTTAAAAAAAAAAAGAAAGAAAACCCTTTTGCAATTAATTATGTTACTTTAATAGGTATTTAAAAAAAAAATTAAGTGTACGAGCTAAGATTTGTTTATGTAAAACCTGACACATCCCAAAAGTTAAAAAAATATCAAATAACTATTAAAATTGGTTAACATAAACAACTAGGTTTAATAATTTCTTACCTGTATCCCATCTTTAAGTTTCAAAATACATTCCATTGTATTGATGGTAATTACCACTGGTTCTGAACCCAGTTTTGTCCACGGTACATGGATCCTCAGTTCGTGAATATGTCCACTTAAAAAAGTGAATGGTAATTTCAATTCCTTAAAATGCAAAATATTAAAGAAAATTTAGTAAGTGCTTAATATTCTTTTCATTCTAATATCCAAAATACTTTCTGAAAAGAAAAATAAAATTTCCAACACAAAAATATTCTGGAAATTACTTTTCATCAAAAAAGAGCATCGAGATACATTCGGTACATTACTCCTTTCTGCCCGTGGACGCCGCCAAGCAAGCATCGTTGACGTCTCCCTCCTCCACTGCCGTCACGTCTAAGTCAGAGTCTCCCAAAGAACCCGAACAGCTGAGGCAGCTCTTCATCGGAGGTTTGAGCTTTGAAACAACCAATGAGTGTCTGAGGAGCCATTTTAAGCAATGGGGAACGCTCACAGATTGTGTGGTAATGAGGGATCCAAACACCAAGCACTCCAGAGGCTTCCGGTTTGTCACATATGCCACTGTGGAGAAGGTGGATGCAGCCATAAATACAAGGCCACATAAGGGATGGAAGAGTTGGGGAACCAAAGAGGGCCGTCTCAAGAGAAGATTCTCAAAGACCTGGTGCCCACTTAACTGTGAAAAAGATTTTTGTTGGTGGCCTTAAAGAAGACACTGAAGAACATCACCTAAGAGATTGTTTCGAACAGTATGGGAAAACTGAAGTGATTGAAATCATGACTGACCGAGGCAGTGGCAAAAAGGGAGGCTTTGCTTTCAGTTTAACCTTTGATGACCATGACTCCATAGACAAGACTGTCATTCAGAAACACCACACTGTGAATGGCCACAACTGTGAAGTAAGGAAAGCCCTATCTCAGCAAGAGATGGCTAGTGCCTCATCCAGCCAAAGAGGTCGAAGTGGTTCTGGAAACTTTGGTGGTGGTCGTGGAGGGGGTTTTGATGGGAATGACAGCTTTGGTCATGGAGGAAACTTCAGTGGTCGAGGTGGCTTTGGTGGCAGCGGCAGTGGTGGTGGATATGGTGGCAGTGGGGATGGCAGTAATGGATTTGGTAATGATGGAAGCAAGTTTGGAGGTAGTGGAAGCTACAATGATTTTGTCAATTACAACAACCAATCTTCAAATTTTGGACCCATGAAAGGAGGAAACTTTGGAAGCAGAAGTTCTGGCCCCTGTGGTGGTGGAAGCCAATACTTTGCCGAACCACGAAACCAAGGTGGCTATGGAGGTTCCAGCAGCAGCAGTAGCTATGGCAGTGGCAGAAGGTTTTAATTACTGCCAGGAAACAAAGCTTAGCAGGAGAGGAGAGCCAGAGAAGTGACAGGGAAGCTACAGGTTACAACAGATTTGTGAACTCAGCCAAGCACAGTGGTGGCAGGGCCTAGGTGCTACAAAGAACACGTTTTAGACAATACTCATGTGTACGGGCAAAAAAACTCAAGGACTGTAATTGTGACTAACTGTATAACAGGTTATTTTAGTTTCTGTTCTGTGGAAAGTATAAAGCATTCCAACAAAGGGTTTTAATGTAGATTTTTTTTTTTTTGCACCCATGCTGTTGATTGCATGATCATGACACTGAATAAATGTCTTTAAAAAAAAAAAAAGGCAGCATCAATGGACTTCCCTGGTGGCACAGTGGTTGAGAATCCACCTGCCAATGCAGGGGACACAAGTTCGATCCCTGATCCGGGAAGATCCCACATGCCTCAGAGCAACTAAGCCCATACACCACAACTACTGAGCCTGTGCTCTAGAGCCCACGAGCCACAACTACTGAAGCCCGCGCACCTAGAGCCCGTGCTCTGCAACAAGAGAAGCCACTGCAATGAGAAGCCCGTGCACAGCAACAAAGAGTAGCCCCCACTCTCGCAGCTGGAGAAAGCCCACGCACAGCAGCAAAGACCCAGCACAGCCAAAAATAAATAAATAAATTTATTTTTTTAAAAAAGCAGCATCAAATAACTTGTTAAACTATAGTTAATGATAAACTACAAAAACTTATTGTGCAAGTTACATTTAATAAGCTACTTAACCTGTGTAGGCCTCTATTTCTTATTTTGCTAAATGGAAATAATAACAGAATATGATTGTAAGGCAAGTTTAAAGAGAATGGAATTAAAGATAGGAGAATGACCTGACAAAATAAAAACGGACCAACTTAGAAAAAAAATTTATTGAGCTTTACCTAATTAAAGATTGTACCTGGATACTATTTGGTCATAAATTCTAAGTGTTTTCTGACTGGTTTCCATTATTATTAAAAAGGTTAGATGTATGCTAACGCATGTATATGGAATCTAAAAAAACGGTACTGATGAACCTAGTGGCAGGGCAGAAATAAAGATACAGATGTAGAGAACGGACTTGAGGATACAGCAGGGGAAGGGGAAGCTGGGACAAAGTGAAAGTAGCATTGACATATACACACTACCAAATGTAAAATGGATGGCCAGTGGGAAGCGGCTACATAGCACAGGGAGATCAGCTCAATGCTCTGGATGACCTAGAAGGGTGGGATAGAGGGTGGGAGGGAGGCTCAAGAGGGAGGGGATATGGGGATATATGTATACATATAGCTCTGATTCACTCTGTTGTACAGCAGAAACTAACACAACATTATAAAGCAATTATACTCCAGTAAAGATGAAAAAAAAAAGGCACTTCCTCTCAAAAAAAGAAAAAAAAGTTAGAAATAAAAATGTAAATGTTACCACAATCACTTTATACTAAATTGTTTCACCTTCAGATAAAATGTTACAAACCAACAAAAGAAAAAAACAAATTTGTATTTGGACTATATCTCAATCACATTCTTGTAACTCTATTTGTGAAAGTTAAGATAAATATAAAGCTATTCATTCATCTAAGAATTGTCCACCTACTTGGTTTAGCAACATAGTAGCAATATAGCTAAACATATACAGATAGTACAGCAAAGTGGTTAAGACCAATAACTCTAGAGCCAGCACAAGTGGATTTAATCCTACCTCTGCTACTTACTAGCACAATGACAATAGGCAAGTTGTATTAAAGTATGTGTGTCTCAGTTTCTTTATCTGTAAAACTGGATAATAGTAGTGTGTTTGAGGATTAAATGAATTAATTTATATAAAGCACTTAGGACACTGTCTTCCTCAAAGAGCAATCAATATAAAGATGCTAACTATTTATTATTACAAACGTATAAGCCTCCTTTATGTCTTCACAAGTTTTTTTAAAGGGCAGAATACTAAAAATCTATTTCTACTATTCTAATGGAATGTCACAATTTTTAAACAGTTCTCATTATTTCATTAATTTTAAAGATGCAGTACTTTCTCCCAGCATTAATCAATGGAACAGATTATATTCTGATCAGTGTCCATAATGAAGACAATGTTTACTGAGCACTTACTGTGTACCACACACTGCTTTAAGCACTTTACCTGCATGCAAAATTTAATCTTTGTAAGTACCCCAAAAAGTAAATACTATTATACCCACTTTACAGATAAAAAACCTGAGGCATGGAAAGGTCAACTAACTTTCAAAAATGACTCAGCTAGGAGCTCTGTGACTCAAAACCAGAAACTATGATGCCAGAGCCCTTCCTCTTATCAACAACTATACTGCACCTAACTTTCATTATGAGCACTGAATACATTTCCATTGGTTATACATCCATTTGGATAATGTTCCAATGACATCTCCATCTCTACCCTTGACTTGTGTAACAATCATACGTTTGTGAAATGGCTACCAAAACCGCAGTCTACGGGCACAAATTGGCTTTTCTTAGGGAGAAGTTAAAAGACACCTGAACCAAACTCAAGACCTTGGTATCACCAGAATGCTACTAATCATCTGAATAACTAACAAAACACTAACACAAGAGGCAGCATTCTACATTAAAACATGGAATTTTGAACCATATGGCCCATGTTGGAGATCCAACTGAAGTTCAACACTTATTAATTATCTGACTATAAAGCAAGATCATTTCCATTTCCTCATCACAGAGTTGTGGTGATAAACAAATAAGAACACATTTATGCCTTGTAAAAGGCAAAAGAAAATGCTGACTGTTATAATAAATGGATCATCCTGAGGTAACCACAAAGAAATGATTTTCTTTTCATTCCTTTTCCTTCTCAAAATATATTGTACAACTTAAAAATATTCTATTTACTTGTAACTACTCAGAAATACATTGTGAAAAATACATCCCTAAAACCAGAATATCTATGGCTGCACAAAGGATATAGTAATGAAAAATTCAGAGGATTGACTAGCTCTCATAAATATAATTCTAGGTAAGCAATTTAAAAATATTCTCACACAGAAAAAAGGGATACTTGAAAAATGAATATAGCAGGCCACAAAAGCAAAAATAGATGAAAAGGACTACATCAAACCTAAAAACCTCCACAGAGCAAAGAAAACACTCAGCAAAGTGGAAAGGCAACCCACATGAGAGAAACTATTTGTAAACCATATTATCTGATAAGGGGTTAAAATCTAGTATATATAAAGAACTATGACAACTCAACAACAAAAAAACAAATAATCCAATTTTAAAAATAATCCAATTTTAAAAATGACTCGAATAGACATTTCCAAAAAGCATATACAAATGGCCAACAAATAGAGGAAAACATGCTCACCATCATTAATTGTCAGAGAAATGCAAATCAAAACCACAATGATATATCATCTCATACCTGTTATAATGGCACCTATCCCAAAAAAAATCCACAACAGGAAGTGATAAGTGTGGTGAGTATATGAAGAACGTAGAACCCTTGTGCACTGTCGATGAAAATGTAAAATAGTGCAGCCACTACAGAAAACAGTATGGAGATTCTTCAAACAATTAAAAACAGAATTACCATATGATCCAGCAATCTCAGTTCTGAGCACAAACTAAAAAGAACTGAAAGCAGGATCCTGAAAACATATTTGTACAACCATATTTTTTGCAGCATTATTCACAATAGTCAAGAGGTGGATACAACCTAATGTCCACTGAAAGATAAATGTATAAAGAAAATGTGGTATATACACATGATGAAATATTATTCAGTCTTTAAAAAGGAAAT